CATTGAATCTATAGATTGCTTTGGGTAGTATAGCCATTTTGACAATATTGATTCTTCCAATCCATGAACACGGTATGTTTCTCCATCTGTTTGTGTCCTCTTTGATTTCTTTCATCAGTGTTTTATAGTTTTCTATGTATAGGTCTTTTGTTTCTTTCGGTAGATATACTCCTAATTATTTTATTCTTTTTGTTGCAATGGTGAATGGTATTGTTTCCTTAATTTCTATTTCTGTTTTCTCATTGTTAGTGTATAGGAATGCAAGGGATTTCTGTGTGTTAATTTTCCAATATTTTCATATGATTGAAACAGTTAATAGCTTCAATACAGTTTAGGTTTTTTAAAAAATAATTTTTTTATTGGGATGATTGCATTCTTTGTTTGGCATTTAGTTCTTTCATACTGACAAACCTATGAAGGATGTGTGAGATAAGAATGCAATGGACTTGATTTATCTTTTATTCATAACTTATTTACTTATTAATTAACCTAGTAAATATTTATTGGAAAACTATATGAAAATCATTACTTTTACATTTGCTATAAAATTATAGTCAAGTGCATTGTCTATTATGCATATTAATATATATTAATGTTCTATGTATGAAATCCACATGAAAAGTTTTAGAATTAAGTTACAGAAAAACAATCTAGTTTATTTGAGTTATACCAAACTTTCTCTTTTCTGATGATAGCCATTTATGCTTCCTATTTTGCCCAGGCTGCCAGGAAACTCAGAGATACTCTTGATACTTAGTCACAGCATCATATTAACCTCCTGCTTGGTATATTTATCCCTTTCTCCTTTTTATGGCCCTGATTTTCTGCTTTATTAATGTAACTATGTATCTATTTCTTTGACAGCCCACCTCAGTTCTTGTAGATATCCTCATCAGATGCATCAGTGGGAACTAGACAGAGGTGATGGTTGCCTAACCTTGTGAAAGAACTAAATGTCACTTTAAAATGATTAATTTTGTTAGGTGAATTTTACTTCAATAAAAAAATTAAAAGAAAAGCATATCAGTGACTAAATGACTTTGATGATGATAATGGTGATGGGGATGACTAGGCTATAACTGAAGAGAGAGTGTTTTCCATGATGGTCAAAGGGAACTGTGGTAAAATCATCCAGTGAACCTGCTTCATTGCTTTAGAAGAGCAGTGATCAACATTGGCATGTGTACACGCTGACTTTGAGAACAAGAGCTCTCTCCCTCCATCTCCATCCCCTCTCCAGTCATCTTTTAAAAATTAAACAATTACAAAACAGCTTGATATTTAAATATTACAAAACAGAAATGTTTATTGTGGGAAAAATCACCAAATAAAAGCCACCCATACTTCTAATAGCCAGACAGAATCACTGTTAACATTTTGTATGTACTTACAGACTTCTATATTGATTCATTAAGGCATACATTCAATTATTTATCCATCTTTCCAAAGCATGGCCCTCAGGACACCAGTTTCATGATTAAATAGGTTTTAGAAAATGACCCACAATAGCACCTCCTCTTGTAAATCCATGATGCTCACTGGCATATTCAAAAAGATTTGAGAAATTTAATAGCAAAGTTCATTTCACCGTGATTAATCAAGATTTTTCCAATTTACTTGGGCATGGAATCTTTAATCTCTATAGCTAAAGGACCTAGTAATGCAAGTTATTGTGGAAGACAAGGAAACTGAGGAATATTGGGCTTAAATTCTATTACAGATCATATTTAATCTATATAATTGTATGACAGACTGCCTGAACTGATTCTATGGTGTAAATATCTATGTCAATTACATACTTCTAAATATAATTTTTAATGGCTGCAAAGAATTCTATTGTTTAAGGGTCCCATGGCTTTTGGAATCAATCTTATTGTTAGGGATTTGGATTTTTCCCATCTTTGTCTCTCATAATGAATAAACATTACTGCTAACTAAGGTTCACTCCCTTAAACATCTTACCACATGAAGGTCAGTTTTCCTAAAGAGTTGTATCTGCACAGATTCTCCATAAATGTTTATTATATTTTTGACCTTTAGTAAAAGACCAGGAACACGAAAGAAAGGAAGAAAGAAAAAGAAAGAAAGAAAGAATAAACAGTAAGAGTAGAAGGGTAGAAAAAAGGGATGCTTTTACTGTTAAATTGGATTTTTTAAATTAAAAAAAAACTTAAACCTGTGTATCTGGTGGCCAGAATTCTGGTCTAGCTTCTGGCCACTCCAAGAGAAGTTTGGATGTACTGAGACTGCTGAGCTCAGATTTTCTGGGGTTTGTGGGTATAGATCCTCAGACAAATGTTAGGAAACTCATGGAATGTGGGAGCATTTTGTAGTAGTGTGAAATCAACCTTTCTATGAGCATTTAACCTCACCCTTAAATGGTGGGATAAGCCCCACTGGTGTGTGGAGGGATTCGAGAGGGTGAAGAAGATGATTTTTAGGGGGTGTTCTATGGGCACAGATCACATCATGAGAAAGATATTCCCTTTTCAATCCTTGTTTGGTCTTCCTGATG